TCATCACCAGAGTCATCACCAGAGTCATCACCAGAGTCATCACCAGAGTCATCACCAGAGTCATCACCAGAGTCATCACCAGAGTCATCACCAGTTTCATCACCAGTTTCATCACCAGTTTCATCACCAGTTTCATCACCAGTTTCATCACCAGTTTCATCACCAGAATCATCGCCGGTATCTTCTCCAGTGTCTTCGCCGGTATCATCCCCAGAGTCATCGCCAGTATCCTCTCCGTCATCCCCATCATCGCCCGAACCATCATCAGTCGGCTGGGCAGCTTCAGAGCTAACCGGGGTAGCACTTGTGGAAGTTGCAACGCCCGAAGAAATGATCGGCTTAGATGATGACACAGTATGGGATGAAGTCTCGATGGCACTGCTACTGGTTATGTGCGCAGATCCCGAGGTTATGGTGTGGGATGCAGTGTGGGATGCAGTGTGGGACGCAGAGTGCGATGCAGAGTGGGACGCAGAGTGCGATGCAGAGTGAGATTCAGGTGTGGAGGTCGGGTGCTCAGACCCTGTGCTTGTATGGTGGTGTACAGCGCTGGAGGACAATTGATGAGATTTAGTGCTCGTCGTATGCGTGTGACTGCCGCTAGCAGACGACCCTGGGCTTGTGGTATGACTGTGAGTAGAAGTGCCTGCCGCAGACCCCTCCGAGACTGTCCGTGTTGATGTCCCTGGAGTTGGGGTTTGCACGAACTGGCCTCCCGATGCAGAGGTCTCATGAGCCGCACTACTCGAGGTGCTGTGGCTCTCGGGTGTCTTGGTGCTCGTAGTGTGAGTAGGTGTGGCCTTGGTCGATGTTGAGATACTGTGGCTATCGGGTGTCTTGGTACTGGTCGTATGCGTAGGAGTGGCCTTCGTCGAAGTCGAGGTACTTTGATCCTCAGGTGTCTTGGTGCTGGTCGTATGAGTAGGTGTAGCCTTTGTCGATGTCGAGGTGCTATGTACCTCTGGTGTCTTGGTACTCGTGGAAGTAGAAGTATCTTTGGTCGAGGTTGAGGTACTGTGAGACTCGGGAGTCTTGGTGCTTGTTGTGTGAGTAGACGTATCCTTGGTCGAGGTCGAAGTAGAAGTCTTGGATTTTGTGCTCGTCGTGTGAGTGGCCGTGTCCTTGGTCGAGGTAGAAGTCTTTGTCTTGGACTTTGTGCTCGTCTTACTTGACTTCTTGCTTGTCTTGCTGGACTTCTTGCTTGTCTTCTTTTTCTTCTTTCTAGCCACCAGCCGAGGGTGCTCGTCTTCATCCACCTCATGCTCAATGGCGGCAGAATCCGACTCAGCCAGCCAAGCTCCTGCTACCGGAGCAGGAGTGATACTGGGGTGAGAGGCTACCACATCGGTAGTAGGTAGATCGGCTCCCCAGGAGCTGGAAACCAGGCTGCCGGCCCACAGGGCCAGCAACAGCGTCTGCCTAAGTGTCGCAGGCATTTTTTGTGTTCACGATGCTTGGGAGACGGAAGTGGAATTGGCGGGTGAAGGCAATCTTATATGATCGCCCTGGTAACATAGCCGCATAGGATTCAGCCGTGGCATGTTGAAACAGCTTTTTCTAGGGTCTTCGGCCCCATGTGTTGAATCTCTAGCTCATTAGTGACCGATAGATCTAAGAACTGATTTGGAGAGACTATCGAACCCAATGAGTGGTGGCCAACAGTGGGTCAACGGTCCTTCATATGGGGCGAAAATTGTTGCTCATTTGGCCTTGATAGTGTTGGGTCGGACGAACTGGTTGCGATTGACATCACTCATTCGAACTCGCTAAATTTATGTGTTTGTCATGCTTTGTTGCCCGGTGCTCCATTTCTACAGGTATCCTGTCTAGCAGAGCCGTACAGACGTGGACCAGTGTTTCTTCAAGGTTGGGAACCCGTGGAACTAGCTATTGTAAGTCACAAAGCAACCAAGGCAGAATGGGATTGAACTAACGAACTAATTGTGTAGCGAATGCGGCTGTAGTATGGGTCATTTCAACCAGAGACTAACAAGACTCATGGACACCTCCAGCTAACTCAGAGTGTCCATTGCCCCTGGCGATCATTCTTGAGCTAAGAGAATTTGGCCCCATGGCCCCAAAGCGTGCTGGAAAGATCAGGTGTTTGCTTCCTGTTTGTTTACTGTTTGCCTGGGGATAACATTTCCAACCAGCCTCAAAATCGCCCCCACGTCAGCGACAAACACTGCCACACTAACATCAACCAGACATCCTCTTTCCCCTTCTCGCCTCTTCTTCCATCTTCTTTCATCTACCAATAGATACTTTGAACAACGGTAATATCAATTGGATACCCGAAAATTCGGCGCTAGTGGCCTTCACTAAGGTTCCCTCTCTCCTGAGCTCGACAAGCGAAGAGCCGGGACGTCTCGAAGAAATGATTACCCGACGTGCTCAGCCTGACAGTGCAACTACTTATGATACACAGAGCCGTCTTAGCCGGTGTTGGCTCTCGAGTTCCAGACCTGTCCTTCCATCTGAATCAATGACAGGACTAGTATGCTTGTGTCAGCCCCCGACGCTCATGCAACATGCTACATGTTACCTCGTACTAGCTAATCAAAGAAGTGCCCTTGTGTTAGATTAGATGATATCTCTCAATGGCTAACATAACCCCCCTAGATGACTTCTGTCAATGTCGTTGTCTGCGCCAGTCATAACCCCAAATCCAGACCACTACCATCGCTGGCACGCACACAAAACACATAAAACCAATTACAGTAAAAGCCCATCCATTACCGATGGCGTCAATCATAGGAAGGATTGCAGCAGCTGCGCCAGCTCCGAGCCAGCATCGTGTGAGATTCATGGCAGCTGTTGCCATCGCCGGACTCTCGGGATAGATATCAACCATCAACGCACTCAAGGTATTCATTACTGCTGCAGAAGTATACCCAATGAGAAGAAGTAGAACGAGTGGACCTGCAAGATTGGTCTCGTAGTGCAAAACCCAGCCATACGCTATCATGCTCAATGCTTCACCGATTGCCTGCGGCAAGACGACTTCAGCACGGGGGCGTTCGATGGCGAATTTGTCCAAGTCAGGTCGGTGATTGCTGGAAATATCAATGCCTTGGCTGTGTGCGTGCCGTCGATAGTTCCAGTCCGTTATTTTTCCTTGTGTATATGCAGCAATCAGATTGCCCACGCCAAGGGGAAGATAACACAGACCGATCTGCACCTCGTTGAAGCCGTATATGCGGCTGAACTGCGAGGTGATGGTACCGGTGACAGCAAAATAGCCTGCAATAGCCACACCATTTCCCAGAAGGATCAGAAAAACGTCTTTGTGGAAAATAATGGTGAGAGCCTTGAGCGGGTTGGGGAAACCAAGGTGAATGCCGGCCGAGGAATGAGCCTCAGCCCGTTGACGTCGAGAACAGAGCTGAAGCCCCGACAAGTTCCATATTGGGGGAGATCGTGAGCCATTGCCGACAACCTTACGGGCAGTTTCGGGAAGAAAAAGCACCAGCACGATGAAGAAAGCACCTGCAAGGATTGCCAGCAACCAGAATATGAAGGGCCAGCCTAGGAACTGCGTCAAAAGCCCCCCGATAATAGGCCCTACCGACGGGCCAATGATGAAGCCGGCCGACACATATCCAATGTACTTGCCGCGCTCGGCGGTAGTGACGACGTCAGCGACAATAGCATTAGCGAGCGCAATAGTGCTGCTACCGCCAGCACTCTGGAGACATCTCAGAATGAGCAGCGCGGCGTAGTTGCGCTGCAGGGCGAGCCCGATGTTGGCGGCGATGTACGCGATGAAGCAAAGGATATAAGCTGGCCGCCGCCCTGCATTGTCGGCAAGCCCGCCAAAGAAAGTGGGCGCGAGGCCTTGGAAGATCTATGTTATCAAAGTAAGCACTTCCTCTCGATTTATTAATGCTGCATGTATTCACCTACCATATATGTTGACAAGGTAAGGTTGATCAAGGTATCGCTCACATGGAACTGGTCGGCAATGGTGTCAGTTGCAGGCAAGTAGATGTTTGCCGACAAGGAGGAGAAAACACTGGCCACTGAAGCTATCAGGACAATCAATGCTCTTGTTCGACGAGAGAAGGTCGAGTAAACCTCAGGTTCACCGGGAGCTGGATCCGGATCTTCTTCTGGTGACACTGTATCCGACGGCACCCTTTCTGCTTTGGGATCCGGGCCGTCACAGTATTCCTCTTTCGACTTCATGGTGGCCATGATATGTATGCTCTACGTTGCACCAAGATAATCCACCGGGCTAGAGCTCGACCGCCGCGAGATCAGGTGAAACAAAGACTAACCAGCAGCGCGGTGAACCCTTTTTAATATCCATGCGTGTTGGAGGGCTCTGACTTATGCCTGCAGCTAATCATTCAAGGACAAGGCTGATCAGTATCTGCATGGTCGATCACATCACCAGGTCCCGGACATTGTCTGGTCCAATAGCGCACGCCTGTTCCCAAGCTACCACGGGAAATCGTGCATAGTTAATGATGCTCGTCCTCGGACGTAGGAAGCATCAGTCCAGCGGAGAGATTACAGAATGCCCCATAAGGGCTTCTTGATTTTTCTGTTGATGTCGAGATCATATCAAGAGATCTCGGCTTTTCAGCTATGCTTTTGGGCGCTATATCTCCCGCCTCGTTTCTTATCAGGTGCTATGCAAGGTGTGTATCCCTGCGATACCTGCAGCCTGCCGTTCATTTACCCCCATCAGCCCCTTCCCGCCCAGGGGTTCCTCTCAGGAGTTCCTCGTTCTCCCAGATATTCATATCTAAAATGATCCAAATGATCCATAATTTCATTACTACACACCACTGACACTGCCAACACCTCTTCGGGACCATTTTATCGATGCCTGAGGATCATCTCCAGTTTTGGCTTTGATGATTCGAGCAACGTCATCCTTCTCTACCAAGTGGACGAATTACATCGGAAGCTTATCTCAAGTCAGCTGAATCCCTTGTAGCGTTGCTGTGTTGAGCTGAGATGCGTGTCCTCCGCTGGGCTGTTCTTGTTGGCCGGTACGGCGAGACCCCCATAAGCGTGCGGGACGGGGAACTCATGTCCGGAGATTTTACGGTCAACCCGTTGCTTATATTTATTGGCACTAGAACCAGGGACTATTGATTGGCGTCCACACGGTGAGCTGCTCTACTGTTACTTTGGGTCAATTTAACTGCATCTGGACAATGGGGAAATGTTCACAAATGGATATGTCCGATAGTAATGTCTAATCGGAGTAAATACCGCGGAGTCATATAATCTATATATAATGAGAAAGGCGCGGAATGGGTAGCTGACATATTTATCACTATATATCCATGTAGTTGCGTTGCACCAGCTAGAAAGTCGAGGTTCATACTAGGCTTCATGAGTAGACAAATGATATATTGCTAGCTACTCAGAGCAGGCTGGGAAAACAAATCGACGTTTTATGAGAACAAGTGAAAAGTCGGGGGAAAAACTCGTCATAGGAGAAATATGCACTGCTTCAATAATCTTAGAATAAAACTTCCACTGAATCTATTGTACTAGAGATAACTATTACCATCCCAACCAGGGCTCAAAAGTCATTAGAACTAGCAGCAGTTCATAAGCATGTGTGGCCGATGCTGGCTACTGTGAGTATATATTGGCTAGTGCTAATGGTTCACACTTCCATGCGTCTCAATCTTAACAGAAAGGATATGGAAAGGAGAAAATCAAATTCCAACAGTAGCACCATAATCCATCGGTTTACCTTACATAGCCATCGAATTAATTACATCGAAGATGCAATTCACATCACCTCGTTCCCTCACACTAATAATGCACACTGCCATTAAACATCACCCACAATCGCGGCTTCAGCAAAACTCCCGCTGAACCACGCCCTTACTTCACTTTTGGAACATGTAGCAAAAGATCTCCGCAATTAATATATCAAGCCCGGGTGGTCTAGTGGTATGATTCTCGCTTAGGGATACAAACCCAAGCATATCTGCGAGAGGTCCCGCGTTCGATCCGCGGCTCGGGCCTTGAATCTTCTTTTTGATTTTGATTTTTCTTATTTTTCTTCTACTTAGTTCCCTTTTCCCACCTGCATGTATGTATGTATTATTAGATGATAGTTTATGAAATTCTTCGCTTGTTCGTTATATGACTCAATCACTATGACCTGTTGTTGCTGGCTGGCTGGCTGACTGGCTGTTTGTTTGTCAATCAATTCCATGCTAGTCGCGCCCGTGAACAGATAAAGCAACGATCCGGTGAGCGATCTCTAGCAGTTTGAATGTTCTGTTCTATCTACGTCACGTCTACCAGCACGCCTTATCAAACGCGAAGAGGAACTCTAAAGTCCCCCCGATCTACAGTAGATGGTGGTGGCATTACTCGACGCTCACGCCCGCTCTACCGCAGCAGGCCACTGCGCACCAGTCGCTGCCGCCTGTCCCGTCATTTCCAGCGCATCAGC